TACTTGTCTACTTTTGTAACATGTAAGCATTGAGCATTTGGAAAATACTGATTCACTGAGTTACATACATCTTCCAAAAGGTTAAAAAACATTCTGGGGGGCTTCCCTGATGGCACAGTGGTTAAGAATCTGCCTGCCAATGCAGGAGACACGGGTTCGAGCCCTGGTCCGGGAAGATCCCACATGCCGGGGAGCAACTAAGCCCGTGCACCACAACTACTGAGCCTGCGCTCTAGAGCCCATGAGCCACAACTACTGAGCCTGCCGCGTCACAACTACTGAAGCCTGCGCGCCTAGAGCGTGTGCTCCGCAACAAAAGAAGCCACCTCAATGAGAAGCCTGCGCACCACAACGAAGAGTAGCCCCTGCTCGCCACAACTAGAGAAAGCCCGCGCGCAACAAGGAAGATCCAACGTGGCCAATACATACATATATACATAAATAAATAAAATTTATTAAAAAACCCCAAAAAACAAAAAACATTCTGGGGACTTCCCTGGTGGTCTCCCAGTGGTTAAGACTGTGCGCTCCCAATGCAGGGGGCCTGGGTTCGATCCCTGGTCAGGGAACTAGATCCCACATGCATGCCCCAACTAAGATTTCTCATGCCACAACTAAGGAGCCGGCGAGCTGCCACTAAGGAGCCCTTGAGCTGCAACTAAGGAGCCCGCCTGCTGCAACTAAGACCTGGTGCAACCAAACAGATAAAAACAAACAAACAAAGAAACAAAAAACCCTGATCCATTATATACAATATTAAAAAAAACCCAACACATTTGTTAACATCACTGCTGATCTCATCAGAAATTCATTAAGTTCTGGGATGTTGTCAAGCTCATGGTGGTAGACACAAATTTTCCAAATTTCTAATTTTCACTTGGCAACAAATCATTTTATCATTTGCAACAGTACTATCAGTTGTTTTCCTTGAGCTGTCTTGATTATTTTTGAGAAAATGTCTACAAATACCCAACTCTAAATAACCATGGTCTATCAGTTGTTCTCTCAAGTAAAAATGGAGTAACAAGAAATAAGTGGCTAGTCCAGCTTGCAACTCAACTGCACAGGTGTTTTTCCTCAAGGCAACCACTGTTTTTCAGTATAGAGCATACTTTATGCATACTTCCTATTTCATCATACAGAATAATTAAACGGCATGTATTCAGAAGTCAAGATTTAATAAAATGAATAATGATCATTTTTTCAGATTCATCAAGGATACTCTTAAGTGGAATTAGCTTTTTTATTTTTTTTTCCTTTTTTTTCCCCAAGTAAGTGGATTGCAGTAAAGAATTCAACTACAAGTAGTTTGGTGTCACTGCCTTTATTTGTACTAAGGCGTCAGTAGTTTTACTCACTACTGCTTTTGCACCATTAATGCAAATATTAACACAGTGGAAAAGACAAACAATGTCTTAATTATTCTGAAAACAGTTTTGTCTTCTGGGACCCAACAAAAAGGTCCCTGGAACGCCTTCACAGGGGTCCATGGACCATACTTTGGGAACTGCTACCTCAAAGAAATTGAGAGAGCATTACTTACTAGCTATGTGATCCTGGGCAATTCATTAAACTCTTTTCAATGAGCTGTATAAAAAAAATGATACTACCCTCCTCCCTGTGCATTAGGATTAAGAGATGTGAGAACATTTTGTACTCTGTGTAGCATCACGAAAATGTAAGAACTTGTTAATATTTATAATGAATATTTCAGTAGGACACTACTGACTTTGTCTAAAACAACCTGATGGTGACCAAATTTTATACGTTTTTGCTTTTGCTATTTTTCTTACTAATCATCTTTACACTGCTATCTTAATTCAGACCTTTACAATCACAGATGCAATGCTGATTTGTTAATCACAAATGTTGCTGCCAGCTGAGCATATCTAAGTTTTTATCATACCCCACCCCATCCTGACCAGTCAAACCTGTCTAGGGCTTTCCCTTGAGTCTGAATATGTTGTTTTATTTCAGCTGAACAATGACTGACTGTATTCATTTGTTTCTCTCCCCTGCCAAAATTGGCCTCCCCACTTCTACTACTCACTGAAATACCATCCCCATCCTCAAGAGTCCAATTAAGTCAATCTTTTCTGGCTACCCAAATAGGATAATCTTACTTCTCTGAATACCTGGCAGTCAAGGCCGCATGTTACCTGGTATCTTATCTTATGCTTGCCTTTCATTAACTAGACTGTAATCTCTCTGAGGGTAAGTACATCTTACATTTCTCCTTATTCTCTTCATCATCAAATAGCACAATGCATTCAGCCTGGCTAATGATCCAATGTATACTCTACTAGACACTAGCGTCAATGAAGCATTAACCTTCATATCCAAATGGACCTGGTAGCTTAACTTGCTTTACAGACCCAATATCTATAGCTCTTGTCATATACGGTTTTTAGACAGTTTTATCTATAAGGCTTACTCAAGTGACAGGACAAGGTATTCAATATCACTGCATATGGGCTTCCCTGGTGGCACAGTGGTTGAGAGTCCGCCTGCCGATGCAGGGGACACGAGTTCATGCCCCGGTCCGGGAGGACCCCACATGCCACGGAGCGGCTGGGCCCATAAGCCATGGTTGCTGAGCCTGCGCTCCGCAACGGGAGAGGCCGCAACAGTGGGAGGCCTGCGTACCGCCAAAAAAAAAAAAAAAAAAAAAAAAAATCACTGCATAGAGTGCAACTGCTTTACGGGCAAACCGTATTTCTTAAAGTGCCTAACGTGGCTCTGAGAGGAAAACAAATACATGATAATATATATTTAGGTGCATAAGTAGACGTAAGATGTTTATTTACGAAAAAAGACAGTAAGAAGTCTTAAAAAAAACCACCACATATTTAAAACACACAAAAGCATACAGCACAATAGCATAAAAAGTTAACTGAAATGAGAGTCACCTGCACTGAACCAAGTTAAAAAGCATAAATTCAAGATGTAGGATTGCGAAAAGAAACATTAAGCGTGAGTGGTAGCATTTATTATTATGCAAAAAGTCAAATCAAATAGGCGACAAACCAAAGGTAGAAGCCTTGCACTAAAAAAGCAACGCAACTGAAAGGAGGTGGTTCTGTCAAATGATTAAACAGCGCATGGGCTTTGGCATCAGAATGAGCTGGGTTCAAATCCCAGTTCAGAAACTACGTATGAACTTAGAGAAATCACACAATCCCTCTATGCTTCAGAGCCCTTATCTGTAAATGGGACTAATGCTATTTGCCTGGAAGAGTTTTTGAAAGGACCAGAAATAATACAGAGCAGTAAAAAAGCACAGACTTTGGAGTCAGGTTTGGAGTCAGGTTAGTCTAGGTTAGAACTGACTGTACTTTTAAAAGCTTAGGTAACTTAAGCCTCACGTTTCTTATTTGTAAGATATGATACCACCTCCTCAGCATTCTTGCAAGGATAATTAAAGTAACATGTATAAATATTCTATAAAGTCTTAAAAGTACACCCAGTAAGTGCTCAATAAGTTGTCCCTACTATAAGTAAATATATTTACTTATAATTAAATAATTATGTACGAAGTAAATATGTACGATATACACACAGACCTCACCTTGCACAGTGCCTGCCATGTTTTAGATACTTAACAAATGTCAACCATTATAATTACTTCCTAGCATAAGAGATTTCAGAATGATTTAAAACTTTAAACTATGGTTTTACATCCTGATACATACAATCTATATATAATTAATCAATCAGAGATGAATGGTAGTTGATTAATTATTCCAACTACAGATTTTTCAGGATAATTCAGGGAGTGGAAGCAGGAGTTAAGTATAAAATGCTCACTAGTAGAGAGAAAGCCCAGGAACAAGGAAACACTAGATGGGAGAAGTATACATCTACATTAAGCATATAAACTATTCACAGTGTAAATTCACAATCCCTAAATTGTATGCTTATTTGTTAATAGAAGTAATTTACTATTTATTTTTCTGCCAAAGGCAAAGTCAGACATATATTTAATTCTTTCCCACAACCATCCTTCATTTTAAGCCATTCTACCTGCAGCTGTCTTGGCCCTAGACCAATTTCACCGGGTTACAGGGCAGAATTGATCTCACCAGTTCTTCAGTGGTATTTTGAAATTATGAGCATTAAGAAACTGTACCAACCACTTCACACCACTACTCTACAGGGCTGGAGTTGTGGCACCTTGGTTCCTAGAAACCACTTACCTACCTGTGGTTTTTTGTTCGTTTTCCCTGAAAAGGAGCTATGCATGCAAGGGTTAAAAAAAAGGGGGGGGGGGAGGTTGCAACTTTTAATGTACCAAAAAGAATTAAATAAAAAGTCTCTCGCCCACAGCAGGAGGTACCACTGTTAACAGAGTCTTGTACATTTTGCCTACTTACAAACTAAATTAAGTCAAACAAAAACGGGATGGTTCTAACACTGGCAACTGGAAAATGAATAAAACCCCAGGAATGTACCATTAACGAGGTATAATAGATTGTCTTATTTGAAAACTTAAGAGTGTACATCCAAACCTTTTAATAATGACCTGAGTACAGAATATTTTCCTTTGTTAAACAAATTCAAATTGTATCTAATAAGTAGATGATTATGTCGCTGTCACAATAGAAATCTACATTAACACTTAATACCATAGAACAATTTTGCCAAGCTTTCCATGCCAAAAGTGCACTATTAACAAAGGTATCACAATTTTGTTTTCCAATAAGAGGTATGTTACATATCTGGAACCTTACTCATATAAAAGATGTTCAAGTCATGAATAAATTGTTCCTGGCAAAATGAAAACTTAATAATGTCACAGCAATGTTTAAAATACTTGGTGACACATCCCTCCTTAACAAACAAACAAACAAAACCAACTTACTTAAACCTCCACCACCCATCCATCGCTATGATAAATTCAGATTTTTAGCTTTCCTTAAATGGGGGTGTACATGTAACATTTTATATGTCACTCTCTTTATTAAGAGCCTTGCATATAATTTCACATGCTCCCAACTGACCTTTTCATTTTTCTTGTGTGTCTCTAATGGCTGCTTAGCTGCTGCACTCCGAGGAGTTCGGACGACCTCTTCCTCAGCCACTTCGATGGTCCGTCCGTTTGGCTGCACAGCAACAATAATGGATTCTGTTATCAAACTGCTTGGCAGAGCAAATCAAAGATTTGTACTCAGGACACAGAATATACAACAATCAAATTCTACCCCCGACCCAAATTAAAAAGATTTTTGTACAGCTGTGTTATCTAAGACTATTGTCCCTAGGAACTACATCTTGTAATATAATAAAGAATGAACTTATAAGCAAAACTGTACCACAAATTTATTTTCTGATTTCACCCAGGCATCAGTACCTCCAACAAAAAATAGTGGAATGGAAGCAGGAAAAAGAACTAAATTGTCTTTGCACTCTGACCACCAATTGGCTGTGTAATCTCAGAGTATTTCACTCGTTATCTTTGAGTTTTTTCCTACATCTATAAAAGTGATAGGTCTGATCTATTCAAAAGTCCACAAACTTTTTTTGGTAAAGGGCCAGACAGAAAATATTTTAGGCTTTGTGAGCTATGGAGTCTCTGTTGCAACTACAAAACTCTGCTACTGTAGCACAAAAGCAGCCATAGATGATACATAAAGGAATGAGTACCTCTGTGTTACAAAAAACTTTACAAACACAGGTGGAGGGCCAGATTTGGTCCATGGACCACAGTTTGTTGGTCTCTGTATTAGATAATGTCCCCTGTAATCTTACAATCTAATAGCTCTACTATTCTAGGATTAAGAAGCTTTACTAACCCACTGCCACATAAAAAGGCTACCTCAGTTTTCCTAACAACCCCAAAATAAAATGACAGCACTTAGAGGTGTTCATGAGTAGAATTAAGTCTCTGGACACTAATTCTGGCTTTTAATCAGAATCACCAGTTTGGGTTTTTTTTTTTTTAATGAAGCATTTCTGAGCCCCATCACCAGAAATATACTTAGATTCAGAACTTTGAAGAAAAGGGCCCAGGTATCTCCCAGGTATCTGTATTTCTAACCTCTTCTTTCTGGATCTTACTACTACTTTTCACTTGCCCATTCTTCTCATATTCAACACAGTAAGTTAGTAAATCAATATACTAGTTTAAATTGCTTTATTTCTACTTCTTGCAGAACAGATTTCCACCAGATTACTTATTACAGCGGAGTTATAGTAACAAAAACAGTATGAATGTTCAAAGTTTTTCTAATGTGACATTACCTGCATTTGTGCAAAATTATCAGGGATATGCAGTTGGAAAGAGAAACCATTAATATTCCAAAACCCAATCTGCAGGCTTCCCAAAGATTTATGGCAGAAAAATCCAAACAAAAGCTGTCTTTTAGCTGATTAAATTCCTAATTAACTCAAATTTAATATGCTGAGTCTTAAGCAACTTGGTAAAGTCAGACAGCTAATGTTGAAACCAAGTGTCCTCACTCTCGGTTTGGTTTTCTTTCCTCTGGGCTGTTTTGCCACTTTAATGCTGTCTCTTCTCATTTCTCTTGTTTATGTATATGGGGGGGCAGGGAGGGGTGGAGGAGACAATGCATTGAGAAAGGTCAGAAACCCCAGAAAGGAATTTGGGCTTAGAGCCATATCCACACCAGGAACATAAAACTTTATTTAATTCTACTTTCCCGTATCACCATCTTACTTGTCAGTTCTCGTATGCCATTTCTTATTTCAGACTAGTCAAACTTACTTTTTCTGATTTTCTGGGGTCATCCTCACCTTTCCATGTAAGCTTTACTCCAACTGACCAATCTTACAGCTCTAAGTCCACAGTTTCCCTCTCTTCACGTGGCAGCTCACAAGCCTCACATCTATGAAACTTCATTTAACTAATCCCTTCAGCAAACTATCATAGTCACTTACATGATACCTCCATTTTACTCATGTAAATGGCTAAATTGAGTCATTTTAATTTATATAGTAACTGTAAAAAGGTGAAATTAAGTGGTTAAAAACTATCTTAAAAACCGCTAAAAAGTTCAATGCAATTCCTTTGAGACAACTGCAAACAATGCTGATAGAGCCTCCCAAATGAAAGATGAAAAAATCTTTCCTTCTGGACAAATACAAAGTCTGAAGTCCTCAATCAGTGACCAGCAGAGGAACACTCAATCTCCATTTCATAGGCTCTGCAATGATCAGCAAGCCAAAGGTGGTCCCACATTCCAACCTGTGCCAATTTTACTTCCTTCTTTGCAACAACTTATGTAGCGGCTAGAACTGCAGCTCTGGCCTATGCAGATTTCCCAATTTTCCACTAACTTTTGGGCTTTATATAGGTCTCATAACTATTGGGGTTCCGTAAGTCACCAACAGCTCCCCACAAATGCCTGACACCATGAAATAATAAGCCCCCTATCCCAAGGGAAAAGTCAACAGCATTCTTAGGTAGCAGGAAAAGAGGATACACTTTGATGGTTGTGCCTCACCTACCTATCAACAGCACTAATCTGATCTCTACTAGCTGGTCAAGGAAGCCTTGTCCTGGTAAAGCATTAACCACATTTAAATTAGCAAATCCCTAAATGGAAGCATATTATGTAGATCTGCTCACATGAAAAGAACTAATCGCAAACTAACACTTCAAATCCAATATGACTTCCATGCTGGGTTTTACATGAAAGTATCTTCTCTGATCATAGAGACTTTATAATATATATGGTGCTGTTTCTACAGGTTAGAATTACATGGGCCTCTTGCTGTACCCCGGTTTAAAATTCTCTGGAAAATTCTGAGGTGTTCCCCTCCAGGGCCAACCAAAGTTAATTTTATATATAGCATGCAATCTATATTTTAAATTAGACCACCCCAAAATGTCCTTCAAATTTGGTGAAAATCAACCAGTAACAGAAAAATGATATAATCATTCCTTACATGGATAAACTTGTAGATAATGCCATGTCAGCCTTGTTATTAAACGTTCCCTCAACTCCCATCCCAGATCCTTTTAAAAAATACATTCACAAAAGAACGTGTGTGTGTGTTGGGAGGGTGATAAGGCAGAATGAAGACACCTAGCTGACGATCAGGAAAATAAAATGGAGGAGGGGGCCACACAGCAGGGGAACAGGGTCTTATTTGATAACTACTCAATAAAATTCTTCACATTAGTCAATCTCCAATTTACTAATTTCATAAACATTTATTAAGTAATTAAGTACAAGGCATCACATAGGGACCTCAGGGTCAAGGACATATGAAAGGAATCTGCCCTCTGAGAGTTTTAAGGTTCAGAATAAGAAGATATGCTTAATAATAGACTTCTACTCCATTTGAGTGGCCTTTATATATCTGTTAAACTGATTCTAAATTGCGGAAGAATCTATAGCTAAGGTAAGCATATACAAGGTTTAACATTTGACACTTCTAAAATGAAAGCATTTAGAATCCTATTTCCACTTAGTTATATAAATTTTATTTTTAGCTACGAAATGTAAAAACCATGACTTCAAATTACTTGGAAACTTCTTAAGTTTATTTATTTATTTTTTAATTTTTTAAAAAAATTTATTTTAGGGGCTTCCCTGGTGGCGCAGTGGTTGAGAGTCCACCTGCTGATGCAGGGGACACGGATTCGTGTCCCGGTCCAGGAGGATCCCACATGCTGCGGAGCGGCTGGGCCCGTGAGCCATGGCCACTGAGCCTGCGCGTCCGGAGCCTGTGCTCCGCAATGGTAGAGGCCACAGCGGTGAGGGGCCCGCGTACCGCAAAAAAAAAAAAAAAAATTATTTTATTTAGTTTTGGCTGTATTGGGTCTTCATTGCTGCGTGTGGGCTTTCTCTAGTTGCAGCAAGTGGGGGCTACTCTTTGTTGCAGTGTGTGGGCTTCTCACTGCAGTGGCTTCTCTTGTTGCGGAGCATGGGCTCTAGGCGCCTGGGCTTCAGCAGTTGTGGCTCGTGGGCTCAACAGTTGTGGCCTGTGAGCTCTAGAGCGCAGGCTCAGTAGTTGTGGCACATGAGCTTAGTTGCTCTGCGAAATGTGGGATCTTCCCGAACCCATGTTCCCTGCACTGGCAGGTGGATTCTTAACCACCGCACCACCAGGGAAGTCCACTTCTTAAGTTTAGAAACTAGAAGGGCAGTCTACTAACTACCAAAAAAAAAAAGTGAAATATGAAAAGACTACGGGCTTTGGAATGGACAACCTGGGATTAAGGCCCAACTTCCATATTTAATCACTGTGACTTTAAGCATTTTCCTTGACTTAACCCTCAACTTCATCATCTGTAAATATGAAGAAAATATGTAACTTGTCTTATGTAACTTGTTAAAGTGACAGTAAATGAGAAAACATGTGAAAGCATACTTTACTTGCTCAAGAAACAGTTTCTCTCCTTCAATATCCTTTCCTCTCCAAAGCTATGATGACCCATAACCTCATCCCATGTTCCAGCACTCAAGTCATTTTTCATACTAGCAAGCTCAAAATAAACGTTAAGTCCTGGTGGTCAAGACAGCTAACAAACTGTACATGTATCCAATGGGCCCAATGCTCCAGACACAAATTCTTTTGGGAAGTTAACAGAATACAAATGATGAGTAAATGTATCCTCTCAGAGGCTAAAAATAGTCCAGGCTTGCTCTAGAGACATGTCATACTATCTTTCTTTTTTAAAAAGCTGCTTACAGTTTCACTGTTTTCTAAAAAAATTACACAATAATCATTCATGTTCATTCACTCAATATCCAGTAAGTGAACTCAGTAGAGTAATATGCAGAACCCTTAAAACCTTGAAACAAATACAAGTGAGGCACGATTCCTGCCCTTGAGAAGCTTCGACCAAAGCAAAGGAAGAACACAGGTATACAATAGCGCACACTAAAATAACAGACAGGGCTTCCCTGGTGGCACAGTGGTTGACAGTCCGCCTGCCGATGCAAGGGACACGGGTTCGTGCCCCAGTCCGGGAGGATCCCACATGCCGCGGAGCGGCTGGGCCCGTGAGTCATGGCCGCTGAGCCTGCGCGTCCGGAGCCTGTGCTCCGCAACAGGAGAGGCCACAACAGTGAGGGGCCCACGTACGGCAAAAAAAAAAAAAAAAAAAAAGTCCACATAAAATAACAGACAA